TGGTTCTCTCAAAGTTAACGTCCAAAGATTCGGACCTCCGTTTTAATGCATCGAAGACAATTTTAGAAAATTATGGGAGAAAATTTGAGAAAATCGAAAAAACGATCACAGCCTGCAAATCTACAGCTCAGGGGCTTTCATTTAAAAAAAATCCCATGCAAATCGGTCCGGTGGTTCTCTCAAAGTTAATGCCCCAAGATTCGGGACTTTGCATTTTAATATATAGGATACTTTGCTGATACAGGGAAAAAATCAAGGTAATTTAAAAAAATAATACAGTTTTTGAAAGAAAAAATAAAGTATAAGAGGTATAAGAAGTTTGAACATAATAGTTGAACGAGGGAACACCGCGTGGCCTTTGACATACCTCAGAGGGATGTGGTTAAGGTAGGCTAATAAAATAACTACATCGCACTTATATTTGTAAAATAATTCAAGACCCTCGAGCAATTTTGAATATTCAAAGGACTTACTCATAACACTCACGAGATGAGAAACCACGTTTGTTCACAACTTGTTATCAAACTAACGCGAATGTAAACAAGTCGATACTTCCACTCCCATCGGTTCCCGCCAAATCCGTGGCGCGCTTGGCAAAATTTACAAATTGACGCGCCAATTTTCAAATAAGCGGGGAGTTCTCTCTTCGCGCGCAGACTGAGAATCGGTACCGTGCCAGTTTTTTTTCCTGGTTTGTTTGGGTCGCGCAAAGTCAGGAACCGCGGGGCTCCGAATCGACCCCAAGGAATTCGAATTGGTCTCGAAACCCCCTCAGCTCTCCTTGGAGGATACTNGGGGGGGGGGGGGGGGGGGTCATGATTCTACAAGTCGAGGTTCCCGACCAAAATGCGAATTAATTGCATCAGTCTTGATAATTTCGGAAAATTTCTTGGTATTCGAGCTCCCGTCTCTTCCCTCGGTAAATTTAAAATAAAAAATTCTAGTCATGGATAACAAAATAATTGGCCCGAAACGATGATACAAAAATAACTTAAAATGGGAGTAAGGCCGCAAAAATAAAAACATAAAATAGAAAACCTGGGACGTTTCGCAGTTCACAACCGAATTTTCAACCGGCAAAAAAAAAGGAAAAGTCTAGTCTTACCAGTCTCACAATAACAGCGGCGAGGCTCAGTTTATTTTTGTATTTTCCTTTTTTTTGCCGGTTGAAAATGCGGTTGTGACACCGCGAAACGTCCCAGGTTTTTGATTTTATGTTTTTTTTGTGCGGCATTAGTTCCATTTCAAGATGTTTTTGTTTATGTATAACTAGACTAGTTTTCCAGGTATGAGAACTTTTCTATTTTGTGTTTCCCCGCCTCAATCCCTTGTTTATCTTTACGGTTTGATAGTTCCGCTCGAGATTAAAACCATGAAACCTTACATGACTTTATGACGTTCAAGTACCTTTTGATGACTCCTCAAGTGTAATCAGACAGTTATTCATCGATGAACGTCACCACTCATACATTGCGGCAATAAGCAAACTAATTCGGTGCGTCTGCTTGAAGCTTATCTAATTCTGGGGATACGTGTATCACGATCGATAAAATTCCAGGAAGCGTAAGCAATTTTTAAGATTTTGATGCGGACACGTGTAAATATACGTCACGATAATACACTAAAAACAAACATACCCAAAAATATTTATAATATTTTTCTGGTCACTTGCGTTCGGCGTTCCAAAAATCTGGAACGGGCTTCCTTCTTTAGACTACTATATGGCTGAAATTGGACTACATTCTGCAATTAGGAACTCCCTGGTAAAATTTGGCAGTAGAATCTGTGCTCCAAAATACCATAGACCTACGGCTGGCTGTAAGATTTCCAATAGCTTCTATAGCCGGCTACACAATTTCTTATAGCCTTTTATAGCCGATGGTTGATCCTGGACCACTGCTCTTTTTTTGGGCCGTAGTATCTTGCTTTGTTTGCGAGGAAAGCTCCGTACTTTTGACGGATGCCTGCCATTCCTAATATATATTAGAGGGCCTTCAGTTTCGTATGATACTATTCAATACCTCTGGTGTGAAATAGTTGCCTCAAGCGCTGTGGCACGCTGCGGTGCGGCAGGCGGGCAGCCAGCGCGAAACGCGCATTGGCGCCTACAAACCTAACAGGGATACTTCACGCGTTGCGCAATGCGTGAAGTATCCCTGTTAGGTTTGTAGGCGCCAGTGCGTCGCCGCTTCCCTTTGTGTTAGGCTCTAATATTTAATCTGGCGGAGTCAGCGTTATTCAACTCATGATTTTGAAATGTTTGCACATCCTGTATGGACTATTTTCGTTTTAATTGATGGAAAAAATATGTATTAAAGGAAAATATAACGTGTGTTTTGTAAATATTAAGGTGGTTCCGTATCAAACTTAATGATTTCCAAAGCACACGAATTTCTACACAATTTCTTATAGCTTTTCATAGCAGATCGCGAAAAAGAAACAGCCAGGCGATAAAGTGTAAAGCCCGGCTACAGGAACTATAGCCCGGCTGCATAATTTTTTATCGCTCCGTATAGCCCGGCTGTATGATTTTCTCCGCATTCTACAGCCAGCTGTATAATTTTCTGTAGCCTTCTTTAGCCGGCTTTAAGAATTCCTATGGTATTTTTAAACGCAGCTCTTATCGCCAATTTTTACCAGGGCTACTATATAGTTATTTCTGGCTCATCTGTAAAAATACTTATGAGTATCAGAAAAACTTGTGGTGCATACGTTGTTTCTAAATTGAGCCAGAAATTTTAGTTCCTAATCGCAAAATGTAGTTAAATTATTGTGTATTAATGAAGTACACACGCAAATTCTGTAAACAATTTACTGACGAGACGGTAACTTTCCTTAATACTTCAGTGTGCCTTATAGTTCTAGAGGAAAAAGGGTGCCTTTTCCAAAAAAATCAATATCATGTCATCGGTAGCATAGCGGCGTGTTCTAAGAATATTTTCGGACAATAATTTCCCAAATATGTCAAACTAAAAAGTGCAAAGTGGGCAAACTTTAAAAATATCTGCTATAAAGAAAGCTATTGAAATTATTATAATGCACATGCCATGTTTAGAGTACAAAGTTGTTGAATTATAAGGTAAATTCATACCCGCATTAGCGCAGAAGTGAGCCAACCTGCTTACATCTCATTCTTTGGGAGACTATAGAGGGCTTTTCGTTGAAAGTTCAAAATCCGTTCGAGCAAACTCAACAAAAATCGTCCCACTAAAAATTTCGCCTCCCTACACTGACGTCATTTCTCCCGTGGATGTTCATACATACAGGGTAATCCAAAAGTCCCCCACCACCAGCACGAAGTAACTTTTGAACAAATTGAGGCAAGAGCTTTAAATTTTTTGCGTGCTCTTAGGTCAGAGAAAACATTTTTTGGGACCCTAAAAGATTTTGAGGGGATCACCCTTGAAATGGGCAAGAACCTCGGAGAGAGGCGTGGGGGAAACTTTTAGATCGCCTTGTAAAATAATCTCGAGAGTGAGTCATGTCCGGATATGAGGATATACTTGCAGTCAACGTTCGTAGAAATACGAGTGCGATTACTGATGATATGATTGTTCAATAGTTGAATATTTAGAAGCATCAATTGGAGTGAGGAAAGAGAAAATCTGAATAGGTTTTACGCATAAAATGTGGACCAGAGAAGTGTCTGGAAGGCCCACCCACTGTCACATGACTATGAGAGTCAAAGCCAGATTACCTGCCGCCTCATGGGGCCTGCAAACACGATAAGTACCCGCGAGAATGAGCGATGATTAGTAATACGGTAGAACCGCTAAGTTTATGAAGCTTTCCTCTTTGCTTGGTTGTTCGATCCTCTGTTGATAAACTTTTAAATATGGCAGGTCAGTGACATTTGCGTTTTATCGATTGATTTATTTTTGCTCGTGTTAGGATTTCAGTTTTTTTGAAGATGTATGAATTCGCAAAAAACGGTGACTTTAGAAAGTGTTCAGTTTAAACTCCAATACTTTCTCTTCATTGATAATTGAACGTTGACTCTTACTCTAATCAAAATCTAAAAAGCGGTGTAGCCCTCTTTCCCCCTCTTATTTATTTTGATAGTGATATTTTGTTCTGCACCCGACATTATTACAATTCTGGAGTATACTTATTCATGGTTGGTTGGCAGATACGTTTATTTGGTGTGTTTAACACTTGAGCCATTAACACCTTTGAGGAGAAATCAAAATAGTGTCTATTTCGCTATCTGTCACACTATGATTAGAAATACTTTAAATTTTATCCAGCCGTATATTCAACAAATTCTCACAATTTTTAGGATCTGAAAGGACCGGNGGGGGGGGGGTGTCCGTCAAGCGTTACATCATTATCAGGGAGGGTTCGGGACTTCGTCACGAAGCGTTACAAGAGGGAAAGGAGTCAAAAATGCCAAAAAAATGCGTAGGTTTATGAACGCTGCCAAACGCGCCTGCTATCAATTGAAGAAAAAAGTCGTCACAAGTGAGTTGTTTTCGACAATTTGAATGTCAATAGGGCTGCATTTTGAAATTTGAAACTACAATCCCTAGCTCATATTTGTAAAAACACGTATGTGTATGGGTGAATTGATGGTGCATGTGCTGTTTCTGAACTGAGCTGGAAATTGTAGTTCCTAATTGCAATATTTTGTCCAATTATCATGGCACTTAGACGAAAAGTCGTTTCCATTAGGACTGCATTTTGCAATAAGGAACTCCAATTCAATCCAAGGAACGGCCAATAGATAAAAACACTCACCAACGAAGGGAAACTAATTAGGCATATGAGGATGTTTCCAACCAAACAGCATGTAGCCATGTCAACGTCGCTAAGATTGTCCAGTCCAACTCTTCCTTTTTTTACAAGTATCCGAAATCACCCACATTATACATTTCTCTGCCGCAGATTAATTGAAAGAAAATAGGCAAATTTCAGAACAGAGCTTCCAGCTCTCTATCAACTAAACTGTTGAATGTATGCACAATCTTAGCAACGTCGCCATGGGTATATCCTGTTTGGCGGGAAAGGTCCTCGATAGTTGTTTCTAAAATGAGTCGAAGATTGTAGTTCCTAATTGTAGCATATAGCTCATTTAGTAAATGGACCCATTACATTTTTGTGTACGGTTTATAGGTTATGGATGGCGACCGGACGGTCACATGTGGATCATGTGCCACAGCGGTATAATCCCCGCCAACGCAGTCCACGCCGGCAGGGACAAGGACGGAGCGCCGATCTACGCCGGGCGGGCCTACCACGAGGGGGCACTTCTACCAGCAAAAGTCGTAGCGAGTCACAGGGATGCTTACGTTTGCTGGGATGGAGCAGAGATACCCAAGTCTGAGTTCGAGGTATGTCAATGCCAAGATGAGAGTTGTATTCATAGTAGTCCCTTAAACAGCTCCCGAGGCCCGTATAGGAAGCCCCATATCGAGGGCTAACGAAAAATACCACCTAACTGACAATTTTACCATAAAAGATTTTGCAACTTTGTCGCATACTACAGTACACATTACGCAAGCTGATGATTTAAGTATTTTTCTAATTCTGTAGGGGAGCGCCTCACCGAGCCCTGTAATATTTGAAAAAAATGCAAATCTAACCCTAAAATTACAAAAATGACGAAGTTTTCTCTTCGTTTTTCAAAATCGTCAGGTTGCAGTTAAGTGGTACTGTTCGTCAGCCAACGATATGATTTACATTGTAATTAAAATATAGGTTTAAGGGGATCCTTCACATAACATCATAAAAAAGGACAATTCTCAAGGGCAAAGTCTATCACCTGTCTCTTGTTCCGTCAAGTTCGCCTTCAAGAATTGTGACGGCAATTTGAGCGGCTCAAGAGCACGAATAGTTGCGCGCAGTAGTTTCTCCGCTCGTGTAAAGTCCTGGCAAGGAACACGCAACAAATATCATGTGTATCACGGTATCACAAGTATCATTTCCGATCATGTGTTATTCAATTAAATTAAACTAACCAAAATATCTCCTCAAAATTGTCTAAATATTTTTAATGGGTAGATAAAAGTCGCAGTACTTAATTTTTTTTCTTTTTTTAAAAAATAGGAAATTAATTTTTTTTGCGAAAAATATTACAAGAGTGCAGAATGTAACGTGATGATCTGAGGCACGTATATTTTGACTTCCGCTATTGATATTAACAATTTAATAATTCCAACACTTCAAAAATTGGTGGAGATGTAATATTTTAAATAATTTTGAGTGAAAATCATTTTTAAAGGCTGAATGTTCAATGCTGCTGCAAGATTAGACCCTTCCTCAATTACAAGAACAAAGTGTGTAAACAAATATTTTCATTTTATGATTCAGTATCTCATGATTTCATTTCTCGGATTAGGTTCTGTGTGGACCTCCAGTGGCGTGGCAAATTGCAAGTCGCGGCGCTGTCCCACCTCATGCAATCCCTGTCGGACAGACACCGGAGGGAGAACAGTTGTACATAGGACGAACCTTTCACGATGGATCTATGACACCCGGCAAGGTAAATCGAGTCAACAGAATTGAAGAGGCCTCATAGAGCCCATATTTTTTGAAAACGGACTATCGTTCTTCCTTCCATTTCTTCCATGCACATTCGTACTTATCTTAGACTGCGGTCGCTTAATCATAAGAGCACTCACTTCGTTCTTCGCGAGGACATAACCGCATAACCACAATTTGAGATGCTCTCCTTTGTCCGTTTGACACCATGCTTCCCAAGGCTCACTTGAAACTGAAGTTAGGACATTATGCCAAACGACTGACGACGTCTTGGTCTTGTTGCGGCGACGGCCGTTGACAACAAAACAATTGGCTCATCATTGGGCCGGTGTCGTGAGATCGGAAGATAAATACCTCTTTCTCTGTGGCCACTCTCATGATCAGCTTGCACACTGGCAACTATTTGACAGAGCACCAGAAAGTGTTAATTCTCTTCAAGTGTTATTTACCCGTTTGCACTTTTATTCTCTCGAAACTGTTGCCAAACCGATCATTTTCCAGTTTTCTGGAGTTGATGATAAAACTAACAAACTCTGAAGTTCTATCCGTGATGTTGTAAACTCCAGTAATGTTTATTTCCAACGAACAACGGCCAAAATGTTTTAATTCGGATTTCATTAGAAAATATTAATTAAGATCCACATTGGAAAATTTTGAATAAATGAGGGGAGATCAGAAGTTTCAAAACACTGTCATTGCGACATAAAATTTCCTAGTTTGACCATCAGGATGTCGCCTGAGCCTAAAATTACAGAGTGTTCATTTTTTAAATATAAAAAAGAAGCAAAGCATCTCACAAAGCTTACAATCGAAAAAAAAGTTACACTTGCTAGTGCGTAATTGTTTAAATTATTGTCTGATAGTTTTGTAATACTTTTTTTTTGCAGATACATCCAAGTCACGGAGTTTTATACATTCCCTACGGAGGAGAAGAAGTTTCCAAAGAAGAGTACGAAGTAATGGTAACTCCTCCAATGCCTCTCTAGCATCCAATTTTGTGATTATTTACTTTTGGAGCGCACCCCATCGTTCTTTTTTACTTTATTGATTGTGATCGTTTTTAATGACCTTTTTTATCCTTATATAATGTATAATTTTTAATCTCTTATCTGCTCTGTATTTTCTGGGTAAAAATGTGTAAAATGTTAAAAAATGTGTTTTACTTGTGCATTTAACTACGTAGCCTTTAAGTTTTGGCCAGAGACAATATGATTTTAGATTTGTAAAAAAGACCCATCAAAAATATAAAAATGAAAGTAATACATGAGATGTTTTATAACAAAACTGCAGAAATGTATGAAACTCGCTCAAAATGAATGTCGTCTCCTCCGGACTCCTTGGTTTTTTTAAAAATGAGTAATCAGTACGTTAAATTACCCCGGAGAAATTAACGTTAAGAAGACGGAAATAGCAGGATCACCATGGAAGCCTTTACAAATAAGTTTGAATGTGATTGTTCCCATAAAACGAACTCGCGCCTTGCCTCATGCAAACAAAAAATCACGCGCTTTGTCAATGATTGAATAGACGCGTTGTAAATTTGACCAATATTTGTTGTTTACCTTTGAGGTGAAAATGGTGACTTTCCTCTTAAAATTTGAAATAAATAATGTCACGGACATGGAGTCATTATCTTATTTATTTAGAGACTTTAAGTTAGCTCACAACGAAACTTTATGTCACGATTCTTCATCATTCAACAATAAACTAGAAAATAGTTTTGACAAGGTTGTAATGCAATTGAATAAAGTTAGGTGTAACTCGGTCCTGGATAAACGACTCACCTAACGATAGGTTCTGGTTCTGTTTTTTCCCCCATGTAATTCTCACATGTAACTGACGCATCAATTTTCTGATAAATTCAACGCGGTACAGTAATCCTAGTCGATTAGTGGTCCCCGTAGGCAGATTTATAGCCTGATGCAACAGGGCGCAGTGATGAGCTGAACACGGTTCTCTCGTATCTCTCGCCAATTCCAGAGCGATGTTTTCAGCGCACCACGCGTAAGATCTCTCTGCGCTGTTCCGTGAGTGTTAGGAGAGTCAAAGCGCCTTCAAATCGATGCATAGGCAACAAAGACATCCGTCGAGCAAGTTTAGTTGCATCGATGGTTGTTATCAAAACCCCGTCTGTGCGTCTGTAAGTCTGAATACTTTCTAATTGAGGGCGCCCTGCTTTACCATCATCATCTGTTGTAAATGAGACACTAGTAAATGATTCTCTTTAAATGTTTCTCGCTTGCACCTGGGAAAAAGAACGTGTGTTTTTAGTGTTGTATTTGCCGTGCGACAATTATTCTGGTCGTTATGCTCTTAATGAAGAGAGTCATGAAATTTTTGAATAACATATATAGGTCTTTGAATCGAAATTTCAATACTAAGTAAATCTAAAAACAGAAAAGAAACAAAAATTCGTGAAAAAGGAAAAGTTATTAGAGATATAGCATACATCCTAAGGTTCAAACCGTCACAACTGACTTGAAATTGTTTTACTTCTCAGCTAAGTTAATACCTTTCTTTAGTGTATTTCCGAAGAAAATTCACTTTTTTTCTCTTTTTTTTGCGTTGAAAGTATATATTACACATCGCTCGTGATTAAAGATTAATATAATTTTTTGAACGACCACTGGTTGTGCAAACAATATTGTATAAATTTTTTCTAAAACGAAGTAAACTCAACGCTATAATTCAGACTTTTTAAAGACTTTTTTCTTTCTTATTCGTTTATTAATTTTCTTCCGTCCCAAAATATTGTACATTAAAGTGTGAAATTGAAAGATAACACACTTGGTTACGTCGCAATCGGTCATAAGATTTTATTTACGGAAAAACCAAATTTCAAATAATTTTTGGCAAAAGTTTTCTCATTTTGTACATATGCAAATAATATTTAAGAATTTAATGAAAAAATTATTCAATTTTAGTTTTGAACCATCTATTGACACACTTCAAATTAGGTGAGGAAGCTGCGAAAAACAAGAGAAAAAAGATTTTACAGTCTCTGCTCATCGTTCATGGTAAATTTTTAGTTATATTGGTGGCTAAGTGGCCTATGTCAAAACTTTAATACATAGAAGAAGTAATCTTTTATCGTACTGCTAAATGAATACAAACGTACTTTTTTGACGAATTTATCGACCAAAGCTATCGGTAAGAAACATCAGAACATTCCAACGGATACATTGCTGCGTTTAGTCTCATCAATGCCGAGCCTCCTCTAAATTAATTGGCGACGACTTTCCTGATATGACCATGACCAATCGTTTTTTATCTAATCAATATTCAAGTTCATCACTTCCTTAGCATCAGTTGTAACTGAAATTGCACAATTTTTCAATTTTTTTATAAGCCGCTCTTCTTAATAAGTTTACCGACCAGCAGTCCCTTTGTCCAGGTTTCGGACTTAACAGTGCCAATATAAAAATACTCGAAATTTTATTCGGGAGGTTTGAGGGTGAGTATCATACGTGTAAAATTGATCAAACTTACTTCAAGGATTCTGAGGAGTTATATTTTTTTATTCAACTCAAATTTACAAAAAAACATGAATTAGCTGACTTTCTTTACATCAGGTTTTTTTGTGGCACTTACAGTTTTTAAAAGACTAGGATCAAACTAGATCTCAAACAGACATCAACCTGGATAAGTATATTCCTAAGTGCACGATTTGAATGAGGAAGAGATTTAGATTTAGAGATAAGGAAAAGATCCGTTATATTCAGTAATTGACCAACTAACAGAGGAGTGTACGTAAGAAAGTAAAGCATGAAACTGAAGGTTGCTTTTATAAATGGAAACAACAACGCTCATTTAAATAAAATATTAGTGTTCGCTGGTATTTACATTTGTATCAAAAATAAGTATGCGCATGTAAAGAGGGTATGTTCGGGGGTAGGCTTATGCGCATGAAAAATTTCTAAATATTCTGTAACTCGCAGGCTTTTAAAAACTCTTGGAGGGCTGGAAGTATGCTTGTTTCTACGTCGTCGGTATACATTTATTCATAGCATGAATAATTTCCTAGAGAATGAGAATAAAATCCTAGAGAATGTAAACTTATTTACTTTAATATCCACTCTCGTAATTTAACAGCAGGCGAAGAGGACGATTTTTCAAGGCTTAAGTCTCACAAGGATTTCATTTCGTGGATAAAAAATAATATGACGTATGTCTGTCAAATATAACCATGAGCAGGAGAAAGATGGGGTATGCTCGTTTGTGCTCGGGCTATGAGAATGAAAGAGAACGCGGGCCCACGGCATGACTAACTCATGAGCCCTGTCCACAACGCTTTAGATCCATGCCCGCGGCTCATACAGTGTGCATATAGCTCCGTTTCACAGAACGTGAAATCCTGCTTCTCCAATTGGACGTATCTCTGTCAAACGGAACTATGTGCATTATGGCGTGAGCCCTGTTATGCATGTATTCGTATGAGTCTCAGGGCTCATGACTTAATGCACATAGTTCCATTTGATAGAAATACGTCCAATTCAGCAAATGGAACTGTGAGCCGACTAAGTGCGGCACCCATGAGCCATGGGCACGTATCTAGAGCGTTGTGGACAGGGCTCATGAGTTAGTAATGCCGTGGGAGGAGCGCGGCAGCGGCTTCGACACTGGCGCTTTATATTTCCCATTCATTCTTATGACCCGAGCACTAACGAGCACACTCCATATTTTCCCCTGCACATAGTTTTGTTTGACAGAAATACGCCCAAAAGGAAATATAGGCGTATGCCGTAAGTGTCAATGATGAAAGTAAATACCGAGCGAAATACCGAGGCAATGAGTGAGAAAAACTTTTGAATAATAGATTATTACACTTGTTTTTCGTAAAATGTCTAGTCAATTTAAAAAATGCTTTGGAATTTTACTAAACTTCTAGGCAGATTGAAACATTGAGCAATTCAGGCTAATAGCAATGATGCGCACAAACTGAGGACACAATGTGGTGTGATAAAAAAATGGTGGGCGAGAGAAATCTGGTAAGAGTTGATTCGTTTGCTTGTTCATTTGTTTGTTGTTCATTTTGATGATAGAGAGAGTTTAAGAAATATTAGAATACGTCCTCACGTCATGTATTTTAAGGCTCCATAGTAACATACCACTTATAATTTACGATTTTTTTTTGAAAAATTTCAAAAAAAAAAAAATAGTCAAATAGACAGAAAAAAAGTAGGTAGTCAATGGAAAATATATATCGACGGCAAAATACCAGACCACGCATCTCGGGTTGCGACGTCGCAGACTTCCCATCATACTTTATTTTTTAGATGGAAAACTACTCAACGTCAGTTCTTGAAAACTTCCGTGAATTTTCTTCTCTGTGTGAAGAAAAATCTGTGCGGGATTCAAGGAACCACATTGTTTCGTTCTTCTTCACGAAACACCGAAAACGAGATACGTGGTTTGGTAGTTTCACCATCGATACGTAAAAAAATCCAATTCCCCTTACAATATTTCTCCCTCATCTTTATTCACATATTTTTTACTTATAATTCTTGACTCCTGATTATTTCCGACTTTTTACGAGTTTCCTAACGCAGACCTTTCAAACTCGTAAAAATTGGACAGTTTTACATTTTTGACGCATGTATACACGTGCTGCGCTCCATGCCACGTGCATATGTGACCCACTAATTCAAATTTCACAAGGGATTATCGTTACGGCCACGAGGGGGATGATATGAAAAAAATTCCGAGCCAGGAATCGAAGGAGGTGATGGAAGGGAGACAAATTGGAGCGGACTTTTCATTAATCGTTTGGCCCCATTTTCTCGATACAGCTCTCGCCGGTCGATGGTTTCTTGGCCCTGGTCGTCGCCTCTCCGTCCGCGTCGATCGCGACTCCGAGTCGCGAATCCACCGCCGTCGTTGCCGGCTGCGCGGAGCCGTTTTGGCGTTATTCGCGCGGGAAAACGCGGCCGATAACGCCACCGAGCACGCGAGTGCGTTATGTTATCTCCCTCACGCCATACGGTCTGCTACTCTTCATCCCTCGAATCATTCGCATCTTTCGTGTCATGTTCAACAGTGTCTCGGTGTTGGCCGAAAATACTAATAAGGTTTCTCTTTTGTGTTTTCTCTCATGTGAGCTATGATTATCTTTTACCGGCTCTGCGGTTTGCGTCTACTGAATCCAGTATTGAGTTTCTTCTCCCACATATTTGAACGGGTTTAATACCCCCTCCACCTCAGCCTGCCCTCCAATTAGAGGAGTATAGAACAAATTGAAATAATTTTGCAATTTGCAATTTTTTATTATAATATTACAATATTTTTAAAGCATTTTGTCGATAAACTCCGATGTTAGACAACCAATTAAATCCGTTCTATGTTTGAGAAAGGCAGGCAATTTGCGATGTCAAAATAAAGGCAAATTATTTCAATTATATTGCTATAAGATTTCATTACGTGGAGTCCTTTCAATTAGCGACTAGACTACGCACACAATAATCTGGCACAATAGCAATAATTATGCGATATAATTGCAATTGATCGCAATCTGTGCTACTCGGGGACTGATTCAAGCAAGAGTTTTTTTTTCTCATATTCGATCAGGTTTACCCAGAGTCAGTCTAACAGTACTTTACACGGTCTAATTTTCTCTCTTGTATCATTTTTTACAAAAGAATTAAGCTATATGATTCCTTGAAACTTTGAGAATGCACCCTAAATTGTATCAGAATTGTAGTAGAATGTATCAGTGTACCTCCTCCCAAACTTTCAAGTCAGAATTTGTTAATTTAGAGAGCGTCTGATGTAGTCAGACACATGGTTAAACCCTGTCCATTACCAAAATAGCATTTTAGAATTTTATGTGCAATTGTTTTCTTACAAATGAAAAGTTTCCTGAAAATATTCATGCTTGTTTCAGATCGACGGTCAACATCCCAAACCATGTATCTCGGTTTGCGATATCGCCAGACTTCCTGTCATACTTCATTTTTTTAATGGAGAACCGTTCAACGGTGATTCTTGAAAACTGTGATTTTTATTTTTCTCGCGAGGGAAATTTTGCGGAAACCTCAAGGGGTAATGTTGATTTTTTCTCATTTAATAAAATAAAATAAAAGAGGAGCGAAGATTTTAAAACACCGCAAACGAGATACATGGTTTGGGGGGTCAACGTTGAGATTTCTTCCCGGCAATTTTCATGTTTCATACTTCAGCCCTTATCCTGAGAGTAAACCACGGGGATTTTTTCTCAATTTCAGCGGAGGGTAACCACGGGAGGAGGAATATGTGAATTATTGTTGATGGATCTGACTACCATTTTCTTGGTTTCAGGATCTGAATATGAGGTAACTTTTCACGGTCGGCCGTATGAAAAGTTGCGCAAAACGACCTCTAGTTGGGAGCTATTTTTAAGCCAGCCAATCATTCCCGCGCGGGAGGCACCTCAAAATCTCCGCGTTGCGCACAGTTGACCGAAGGTGAGCGATTGCGGAAAGCATGGAGGCAGAACCACCGGCATCGGCACCCACAGGCTGTCTTAGACCGGTGAGTAGATTTTCCTCTTCTATTTAATTGGTATTACTCCACTTTTAAAATATAATTTAAAAAAACAAATAAAATTATCAAAGCCAGTTGACCCGCCAACCGCGAATGGTCAATTAAATAAGCGCTGAAAAATTTTGAAGACTTCCCAACCGTTTTTAATTGATTTTAAATAGAACCGATTGATCCTTCATTTTCCCGGTTATGCAATTTGAGACACTTAGAACTTTCATCTTTTTTACAGTACATGCACAATCAGGGTTGCCCGAGTGCAATGAAAAATATGAAATATTGGACATTTCAGTGAAATATTTCATGAAATTTCACTAATTTGTGAAAAATATGAAACATATTTTCAGGGGCTGGGTGTGCAATACGTACTAAAAAACACCAAAAGGTAAAAAATATTTGACTTTGGTTTAATTATGCATTTAATTTCAAAAAAGATTTGATAGGATCAGTCTGTGGAAACCAAAATCTCAGGACCTAATACAGAGCACAACAAACATATTGTTTCGGGTGTTAAAAATCAAGATTCATTCTTATATTGATAATGGTATGAATATTAGAAACCAGAGTTAATTAAGCCATTTGACAGAAAAATGGCTGTAAACTAAACTATACAATTTATGAATGGAGGAGGGAAGGAATGTAATTAAACGATTGTGCACCTCTGCATCGTTGAACGCCATCACCTGTTTGCGTTGACCTCCGAAGTAAACAAAACTACTGAGCGCTCACCGGGAAAGTTTAGTTGTTGACTAATCGATAGATTCTCGGCGTGAGGTCGGTCAGGGGGATATTCTAAATAAAACTGAATACATACTCTCTGTTTGGCTTGGCTTTAGTCCCTTTGGACGCAGAAAAAATTGTTGAAAGCAATGATGTAGCTCACATCTTAAACAAGAGGTAATTCCTTCGGCCCACAGACGGGAGAATTTCGACGCATTTAGATCGCAAGCACAAATCATCCTGATAAAGTTGAGATTGACTCACTGGTTTATTGCTGGAAAGTAGTTCTTCTTTTCTTTTTCGATAGGTCCCAAAACTCTTTCAAAGATGCCTTGATGACGGTGATCATGCATCTCAATTACTATTACGACCGTGCTCTAATGAATCTCGCTAAAACTTAGAGGATAATTATTTATCCTGGTTGAGGCGGCTGATCTCTCTTTCGAGCCTACCGTTTTGTTCCACAAACAAGAACAGAGAAGTGAATAGCTGTCTCAGATAAGTGCTAAAACGGGAAATATCATCATAAAACCAATCTTCAAACAGGGATTAACGCCTAACGGCTAATCACTTCTAACGTAACAAGGGAATGCAAAAAAGAAAAATTTCAAGACACAACCCATGAATAATCCCTTTATCGATAATGGTATTCGAGGGCTGATTACGTATCGATAAAAGAGCAGATGCTTGAGCAATAGTGATGCAAGTTCAGTGACGTTGTTATCATTGAAACGAACAGGCCAGGTGTTCAAACACAGGGAGGGTTGTTCGACCGTAATAATGCCAAATATTGTTAAAAACTATCGTTGATACTCGTGTACGCTTACCGAATTGGAATTGTTCAATTTTACAACATAGAGGCAAAATACTTGACAAGGTAAATGGAGAAAGTGCTGCAACCTCGCGGCTGGCATCTTAGGTATGACAGTTATGGATTGCCCCCTAATCCTGCTAATCTTACTCGTCCTGCTGAAAATATTCTGTAATACTCTATTTTCAATTTTTCACAAACCGTTGTAGAGATATATGAATATTCAGGTTGACATGGTTTACTAGGACAATAGGGATGAACAAAAATCTGATTTTTAATTAGAAAGAGGTCAATTTCCTCACCTCTTGATGACTAGATTCTTGATAAACAGAATTGTCTACCTCAAGGTTACTCTAGAGTTTAAGCTCTTTTTCATGGGTGGCGGTAGCCACCTCCGGACAAAGTCTAAATTTTTTATTAACTCGAGACGGTGTTAAACTTTGCGAAGAAACTTTAAGGTCTGTAAGTTATGTTACTCTTTAACTCTCAGATGCCCAAGTTTGGTCATATTGACATAAGGTTTACTAAAAATATACCCCGGGAGTTTTATGGGAACAGTGCACATAAGCTTTAGATATGGGTTTACGAATACATCCTTAAAAATAATCGACGCCAAAAAGGAAAACAAGCAATTCCAACGCCAAAGCGTTGGAGGGCGCTTCTTTAACACTGCGCATGCGAGGAACGTTTTCATACGGCCAAGCGAGAGTATTGCGGACGGACGATGTATAACAAATTGCCTACGTGAAGGTGGTCCGGCAGCAACATACCCGCCGCTAGTCTCTGGAAAACAATAGAAAATAGTAGTCGCGTACGTTGCCAGCGAGCGCGCTGCGAGCGCATCTGTTTTAATTACCTAGCATCGAGTCGGGCCTCTAACTTTCTATTCTCTCTGACATAACCTTAAACCTTCAACCCAGAGCCACAAACAGCTGACGCTTGACGATGCTGCGCCGAGAAAATGAACCAATCACAAAATAGCACAGTAATACGTCACTAAAATGAAGAGATCACGTGACTGTTCGTGATTTTTTCGAATCAATCTGAAACTACAACCTCGAATATGAGGCATTTAAGCATAACGAAGCTCCAAAATAGTTTAACCAGGTAATACGTCCGTGCGAGATTGTTATGCTTAAAAGCAAAACATTTCACGAAAACTTTTACGAATACCAGATGCAGAAGAAAATCAAATTTTCCCGGGTGTACCAGAATGGCGTCATTACCCATAAGGCAAAACGGTATGTAGTATAGTACATGTTACATCGGGGGAGTCGAACGGTTGGGAAGGGCGCATCTGGTACCCAGAAGCGCCCAAAATCGAGTGTCAACAAGAGGCGTGATCGAGTTTCGTTTTTTTTTATTTTCCTCCCGAATCCAAGAGACACGTCATTGGCAGTAAAAAGCGGAGCATTACGAGGTCATGCCTCGCGCCACTGCGCCTTCAATTTTGCAGATGCAACTCGGACATCCATCAAGCACGAATAGTTGTATCTCTGCGCCGTCATCAACGCGCGTCTTTTCCCTTGATCTATCTCCATGTTATATAAGTTCTGTCTGTCTAATTTCCTCTAGGGGAGTTACACATGACGGATGAGGAGGGAGGCTAGGAAAGTGCCAATATGTTACCAAAAAGGCGATAATTTAAAGAAGAATAGGTATTTTATTGCCTTCAAAAACATAGAACATAGACACTACCTCAAAAACTATCTGAATCAGTGTATTTAAATACGGGCAAAATTTGACCAGACTTGGGACTTGGCGCATAAAAGAAGTCTTGAGTATTTGAGAATTAATGATAATATTTGCTGTATACTTACTTGTAAATGGGTCTATAAGAATCCTCATGCAACTGAACTGCTGCAAATATTAAGCACGATGCTAATATATTTTTCTTAATTTTTTTTGTTTAGCGTAGTTCTTTGTGGCAGCATGCTTGTTCCCCCTACACATATGTGTCGGCTCAATTTACGGCCAGTCAGCAGGAATGCTTCCACAATTGCTGGAAAAAGGCAGCTCAATACCCATCGATAGAGACCAGGCAACATGGATAGGTAAGTAAGTCATCTAATTTCTCTAATTGGACTTATCTGTTTACTCGGGGCTGAATTACGTCTTCCGCATCTAAGAGGAAGACATTTTTATTTTATTGTAAAATCGACACATAGAGTTCTCGAGAGGTGATGTTCATCCATGTTCCATCTAAGAAAACTATAACTAAAAATGGATTTTGGGGTGCCTTAAGAGCAGAGGCTTGTTTCTTTATTTTCTTTACTTTCTTTTACTTTATTTTATTTTTGTGTACATAAATACTAATACAAATTACCCTTGTTTGCAAGTTTATCATGTTGCGAACGAAAACTATTAAAAATGTCTTTCTTAGCGCAACCTCTTATGTGTATTTTTAAATTGCAGCCACTGAATTTGCACGAGTCCCCTTTCCTTGAAGTATTTGCAACTGTGCGCAGAAAATACAGAATGCCTAGCTCGCAAAGCAATGTGGCTTCTGTTGACTGCATTCATGTAAATAAGAAATAAATCTATCGAAAGCAGATGAATTCATCCGTTCGCACCGTCTACTTACAGTCCTATTTTAAAGATTTCCTCTGCCAATGTAAACTGCGAGAAAACTGTGATATTTAATAATTCACAAATCAATTTTATTTCAGCAAGTGCGCCGACATTAGGAGCATGCCTGGCATCAGCCATAAGCGGGACTCTATCCGATGTTTTTGGCCGAATGCGAGTGGTACGACTATCTTTTTTCTGTATGGCTCTCGGCTACGCTGTAATGGTCGCAGCAGAGAGTTTTATGCTTATTGTGCTGGGTCGATTCCTCGCTGGTGCAGGAATAGGTGAGTAAAACGGCTACATTTGGGTTTGCGGCATGGATTTATGCCGCAGATGTTATCTGATTTCCACGCACTCTTAATGCCTTAATAAAAAACTCAGTAACATTCTAACTCGAGATTTCCAGAGCAAAGTTATAACTTAATGAAAATTCAGAGGAAATTTCAAGGCGTTAAATGCTGCTTGGTTATCCCATAAAAAAATTGAACTTCAAATCTACAGTCGATGAAAAAAATGAATAAATCCAAAAAAAGATGGAGAAGAAAAAAAATGATTTGCTCAGCGACTAAATTAGCATGCTTAAATGATTCCGTCCGCACCGGAAATTCTATGTAAATGAGACTTATCGGCGAAAAAAATGTGATCAAACGCAGCTCTAAGTAACCGCAAACTGGTTTGGCTCACAATCAGACACATTCAACCGTCAATACAGTAAATTTTTTTAAAAAAAAGCAAATGGGACTGGGCGGAACATGGGAGGGGGGTAAAAATATGCCTTTACTTGGAATAACACAAAAGTTGCTGATATTTATTCTTGGTGATACAAATAGAATCACGAGTTTGGAACATTTTACGGATCAGACCACTTTCCATAGATCAACGAGGGAAGACAAAATCAGACCTTCGAAAGATAACACATGCACGGATTTAAAAGCCTAATTCGCAAGATTGTGTAATACATATAAATGGCTTTAGACTAATTCATACAAGTCCTATCTAGATAAAATATATTAAGGATTGAACGCATTTACATCGACAGTTATGAACTGCTTTAATTTTTACAGATCTGTTTTCATCATGAAATAATAATAATAAAAAAAAAAAAAATTGGTTTCACTAAGAATTTATAACGAACAATATTATGACTTAGACCCTCATTAAAACAGAATGTAAAGTAACCATGGCAGTATTGGACCCTGCATCTTGAGAATTCGACGTTACATTCGGAGATAGTGGTTCCATTAATGGTTCTAGATAATGGTTAGTGGTTCCATTAATAGATGGCGCGTTGGATATAACATCGGAGCACATTGATCGGTGAGGAGGAAACCACTAAGTGCGAAATGTTGTTCCGAGATAAATCGCCCAAATCACTTCCATTGCAAATTCATTTAAAATGTTTCGGGATACCAATCGAGTTAACAGGAATGCGCGTGCAATTTAGTGCCGAAAAAATCGGTCTCCGAAAAAAAAAACGGATGAAAAAAGAATGATTTTTGAAAAACAAGAAAGAAAGGGCGTTTTCATATGGAGGTGCTACTGCTAAGAAAGTCAGCCATCAGCGTGACCAGATTTTTTCTCTAGACTGAGAATTTTCTCAGAATGCTTACCCTGCATTCGTGGACGTTTCCATTATTTTGCATCGTTCGCACAACATGAGAGAGCAGTCTCATTTGTAGGATCCCTCGATCCCTCCCGACTGATTTTCATACTCAGCAAAGCGAACATTTATATACTTTCTAAATTACAGCTATGGAAAACTAAAATTTTGATAAGTGCGGAGATTTTCAAACTGAGAAGATATAGAATACAAATCGACACTGCGTATTGGTCTTAGACGTTATGACCCTTCTGGCCTTCTGCCTTACCAGGCGGAGTTGTTAGCTTCACTTACCTCTTCATGAAATTTTGATAAGTACTTACATGTTCCACATTACAGAGACTGGGGCGTCTCCATTTTGCAAATCATGTGGACCAGAAAAATCCACTTACGTAAAGTAGTGGTTACGAGTACATACTCACTGAATTTACAAATGTAGATAGTCTGGATCTCCGTATAAATGGGGAAGAAAGTACTTCTACATCCATCGTAAAACTATCAAACCACAAATATTGATTGCGACGTTTAAAAGTTTCCGCTCATATTCTTTTCTAGAGTATGTCGCTCGAAATTTTCCGTGATATTTTCCGAGAATACTGGTAAAAGAGTGACAAAAAATAAAAATAAAAATAAATTTCGTGCACAGACGATGATCAGGCCATTTTTGGAAAATATAATTAGACAGAGTTTTAACAACGTTGCTTGATACTTCTTCTCAATACATATTTCACTAAACTGCGTATATAAGTGGTGCCATCGCGAAATGACATGCTCACTCAGTAGGTATACACACAAATGAGTTCTCTTCACCAATCCGAAGGAGGTTATTTTTACGAAATATCAGTTCGCCTTCAGTTTCAGGGTATAGGCAGCACAAGCCCCCACGTGGTCGAATAGAGTTTTCGTATTATTTCAAAGAAAAATAAGCTATCTCTGTAGCTTGAAATGTGCACCAAATATTCTGCTGTATCACTCATATCTCTCGGGTTTTCTGGGCGCTACTGTACAGCGCCCAGAACCGGAGTATTTTGTGCCGGAGTCTGTAACTCCGGCACAGAATTTCTTTCCAAAATTGTCAACGAAACTTGTCAAATTTGCAATTTCCATATTAGAAAACATGGATTTTTGGAGAATTTGCGAATATTCTTCTTTAAATTTTTCAGAGGATATAATTCGGAATATTCAATGTAGAGTATCTGCAAAGTTCAAGTAAGAATACTCACAATTTGCATCAAATATCAATATTTTACCGGGATAAATTTGACATGTTCGAGTGTTTATACGACGTTTTTCCGTAGTACAATAGTACGTCGCTCCCGAAAAATCCGAATGATATAAATAAGAAATGCTTAAGTGGACGCATTTCTGCCAAACGTTACTATGTGAATAATGACATGAGCTCTGTTAATCATATAATCTTAAAGATCTCTGGGCTCATGTTTTAATGCACGTAGTTCCGTTTGGCAGAAATACGTTCAAGTGCATTCCGAAAAATCTTTGAGTTGCAGAAATTCTTAACGCAATTTTCATTCTGTTCGTAGGATGAGAGGCTAAAGATCTTTGGGTTGCATTGTTGTAGGCTGCAATTTTCCAGCGTTCGTCTACGTCTCAGAGACGGCGCCACCGGCTTACCGCGGATTGTTCCTGTCCCTGAACGCCCTGATGTCCTCTCTGGGTCTGGTTTACATCTACTCCCTAGGCGGCTACTTCCCGTGGGTCTACGCTGCAGGGGCCACTTGTCTCATGGCCACCGCAGGGCTCGTTCTCACCTTCTTCCTCCACGATTCGCCGGCCTGGCTCGTCCGGAATGGAAAGCTCGAGGCCGCTCAGAAGAGTCTCCGACGGATTGAGGAAAACGCGGCCAACGTTGAGATCAAGCTGAAGGAGCTACAAGAAACGGCCAAAAATGAGCCCACGAGTAGCTTCAACCTTCGAATTTTCATCGAACCCACCGTCTGGAAGCCTTTCATGCAGGTATCTTTTTCTAAAATTGATTTGTTGCTACCTCCTTCTAAATGGTGACAGAATCGTATTTTGATGCTTGATTCTTGTAGATCAGCCAAAAATGATAAGATCCGCCCAAACAGTAATTGTAAGTTCAAGATTAACAGAGATATCGCCCTTCGAAAAGTCGAGTTCAACAACGTCATCAAGCGCGGTATAGTGACACCTTTGGTCTCTTCCACCCTGCTTCCATCTGGTTTTCACGTTGATTTTAACCTGTGCAAATGTGCGTCATACTGACTGATGAACTGGGGTCATACTGCGGTGGCTGACGTCATATACCGAATTTGTCAAAGCGCGATTTCTCCGTTAATATTGGACGTAGAACTAGTTGCTGTCTTGACAGTTCTCAATATTTTTTACTAATCTACAAGAATTGAACATTAAAATACGATTCTGTGACCAGTGCAACTGACCCATTCCTATCTAAATGTCAGGGGTCATCAGTCCGAAAACCGTTACTTCGCTTTATTCTCGAATGGAAACTTGGCAGAAATGTTCCAAGTGGCAAGGAATGATGAATGACTTATTTTGATCAAAACAGAATGTTGCATGGTGACTATAAAAGTCATCAAATGTTTCATTTTCATCAGAGTTGGTTTGGAATTTGATCTCTTATCGAGGCCGTAAAACAAAAATTGTTGCTATGCTTAAATTGGTGAACATGCTTCTGTAGGAAAGTCTATTATTACGTAGAGTTAGTTAAAGGAGTCGTTAATGGGTCGTTTCAAATAAGCTTTCATATTCCACGTTACTTCCAATTTTTTGCATCGAGTTGATTGATTTTTTTCCCTTCTTCTTGTTTCCTATTCAAAATTTTACCCTCTATCTGATTCGGACCTCATTCTTCCCAAAAATCTTCCATTTTTAATATTTTTTGGGCCCCAAATGTCCAAAATGTCATTACCGTAACCTGTTACTTTTCTGATTTGGTATTTTTAGCCTATCATAAAACCGAGACAAGTTTGACTGATTTGACTTTCAGCCGGATTATTAGTTTCAGTATATCCTAGAGAATATTTGATCACAAGAAGAGGTTTTAAATCCAACTATTTCGGCATTTTTTGAATGATTTATGCTTGTTACTGAGTTTCGTGTCATTACCGTAACCGCCGAATTTAAGAGTTTTCTTAGCCGCTAAAGGGCAGCAGCAACAGTGTTTATCATTGAGTCAACAAGTATTCGGAAGCTGAGTGCATGGAGAGTTATTATCACATTTTGTTTCAAATTTATGAGTAATTTTGTGTTATTTACATTGAATTTTGTGTTTAAGGGTAACTTACCACTGTCATTACCGTAACTATGGAAAAATGTGGCAAGAATTCATTTTTATTTTAAAATGTCAGCATGTTCTATTGTAACGTATCGTCCTAACCTCAAATATGCAGTTTCATTAACATTGATGAGTTTTCGTGTGTTTTATCGCCGAAAAACAACAATTACCGTAACCTGCGCCAATAAGGCGACCACATGCCACAAGGCCACAAGGCCAATTTTTCGACACCACTGCTTAAAGCTGATTCCTGAGGTCTTGAATGCCACAAAAAATATCACACCGAAGGTTTTCAACAAATTTTAATTTTTAGTATTTCGGAAAAATAGTGGTCTCAAATATGAACGCTTATTTGAAACGACCCTAATACATTGGCCCTTTTCAAAAAGAGCGTGACTCGTCTGCTCAGCGGAGGAATTTGGTCGCCTTGATACTGAATTTGGAGTAAATTGTGTACTAGAAGCCTGTTTTCACCTGAGGGGTGGTTTAGAGCGGGCTAACGTTTTGCCTTATTTTTACATATTTCTTCGGATGTGACCGTTTTGATGATACATACATATAAGTCGCTTTACAGCACTCCCTCGCGCTCTACGACTCCTAACCTCCACTGCTCTCTTTCAAACCACAAATCTTGGGGGATTGAGCACCTTAACATTTCCGCATTGACATTTCCATTTTTGACATTTTCCATTCCATTTTTTTAACATTTTCCGTTTTGATAATCTCATTTCGAAAAACTTAAAAACCATTTTGCTTAGGTGCTGGGCATGTCGGTGCTGCAGAACATCGCCGGGTTCTACATCGTGATCTACTACACGGTGCAGTTCATGTCGGAGTTCCACTCGACGATCGGGCCGCTGGAGGTGACCGTCCTGATCGCGGTGGTGCGGCTCGTCGGGATCTCCGTGGCGTCGGCCTGGATGCGTCACGCCGGGCGCAAGTTCATCGGGGCCTTCTCCGGCTTCTCCACCGCCGTCGTTCTCCTGGCCATCTACGCCATTCTCAAGTTGGGGGATCGAGTCAAGTTCCTCGCCGAGAACAATTGGATCTTGATCGCCCTTTTTCTCCTCTACGTCCTCACTATGACACTCGGCATATTCCCCATGCCCTGGACCATGCCATATGAGATGTTTCCCATTAAGGTAAGGGTCGCTTGCGAATTTCAATAATGGACCACTAGACACGGTACGAATTTAAGCATTCTGATACATGTATCTTAACCAGAATTTCACGTAGAAAACGATTCGCGCAACGAAAATTACTGAAACCATCTCCTACTAGAGATATTAACATTTTTATTTTACATTGGTTAAGAGGAATTTGAACTGCCCGCCCACAAGAAACTCAAAGCTCTTCTTGAGTCAAATCGCGCGCTACAACGGTTTCAGCAAGCTTCTTAATCGAGCAATGTTCATTTCCCACCATGTGTTTTTTAAACTAAGTAATTTGCTATAGCTGAGCTAAAGTGTCAAGATTGACGATGCCAGTTTTTTTTTTTATCGCAGAGACGTTCATGATAACGTTTAGCGCTTGATGTGAATCACGTAGAGCATTGAGTTTTCATGAGCGGGTGGTTTGAATTCACGCATCAAGAATCATTAAATATCTTCGTAAGGAGTTGATTTCGGTAATTTTCGTTGTGCGTATCGTTCTCTGCGTGAAATTTTGGTTAAGAAACTTGTATCAGAATGCCGAAATTTGTACCTTGTCTAGTGGTCCATCATTCATGGTTGAGACCCAGTGAAGCTCTTGCACGTGTCACGAATTTGTGATTTAAGCACTGGTTCAAATGTTAAATGCGAGGAACAGGATGGTGTCACTGGTTTTCTCAATCAACTCCAAAGCTCCTCCAAGAGAGGAGGAGTCTTCGAATATTAGGATGGGAATGGGGATCAGGGATCGAAGCTCTTGCATATGTCAGGGATTCGCAATTTAAGTACTGTTTTTCTTGCGTAAAATTTCGCGAGAAACACGATGGTGCCATTGATTTTCTCTGAAATCAACTCCAAAGCTCAAAGAAGCTCTTAAAGTTGAGGCCGTAACGGCGGGGATATCCTTCGCTACCCTGAAAGTCCACTTTTATATCAAGACAAAGTCTCTATCCAGATGTAGGGAGGAAATAAGCAGGGTTGCTGGGTTTTCAGTTTTGAAGTCCCCCAACTTAGGTGCAATCCTGTTAATACCTTTGTTCCCTATCATTGAAAAGAGAGTTTGTCAGAGCTTGTTGTTTTGTGGACTCTCAGGGTAGCGTGGGATATCCCCTCCATTACAGCCTCAACTTTGAAAGCTTTTTTTGAGCTTTGGAGTTGGTTCCGGGGAAAGCAATCGTGTTTTTCACGAAATTTTACCTAGGTTTCAATACTTAAATCGCAAATTCCTGACACATGCATGCAAGAACTCCATTCTCAATAAAATGGACGCATAATGCAGTGAATAAAATTACGTGCATCAAAGCTAGGACGATTTGTTATATTTTTTCGATTTTAGGTATCGATGGCCAAAGTGCAAAACCACTTATCTCCTTTGCGATGTTTCAAAATTTCCGAAAAAAAGAGGCCAACTTCATAGCTTGAAATTACAGAATATTTTGTTATCATGGAAGAAAAATCAAGAAGGATTTCAAGAAACTACGTTGACACGTTTTCTAAGGAAAAAATAAAGTATGACAGGAAGTCTACAACGTTGCAAACGGAGATACGTGCGATTTTGCACTTTGGTCATCGGTATAGGAAATAGTTTAAAGGTCTTTTCAAAAGTTTTAAAACTGTGTTAAATCTCCATTCATAGATGAAACTATAAATCATGGGTGGCGGTAGCCACCTCCGGACAAAGTCTAAACTCGACAACACTGGAAAGCCTCCAAACGAATAATGCACACGACAAGGTATTAATTAGTAAGAAATTTTATGTAACTTTAAACCCAAAATTTTGAGAATTTCCCAAAGACGACTTTCTCAGAAAGAAATAGAGAAGGAATAAAGCGATGAAAACACGGAATAAACAATATCAGAAACGTTATATTTAGATTACATGCAGCTCTAGTCTGTGGTTTACGATTATAGATTCATGCGCTTGAGAAGTCACTTCTTAAGGCATTCCCTATACAGCAGCGTGTTAAAATCGCCTTCAATTCTGAACGCCGACCATACGCAAACTCAGGTTGTAATATTATTATCGCGTCAAAATACAGACTATTCGTTAGTCAAGGGAATGCAACTTGTACAGGAATGTTACATGATCAATGAACATGATGCGCAATGCCCAAAGTAATAAATATTCGAGTGTGACTAATGATATTTTGGTAAAATTTAAGAATAAGAAGATCCAATCACAATAATGAAAATCTCATATTGACAGCGAAGGCTTTGCTTAAAGTCCAGAAGAGGCATTTGGAATGTAGTTGATAGTATGATAAAGAAATATGGAACAATCCACCTTCCTGAATTTTTTCACCTTTATTTGACTTTTAATCTTTTTTACAATCACATTTATGAAAGAAACGAGTTAATTCTATACACGGAGAAATGAAGTTTGGCTCATGTTGAATCTCACACTTTTTTTTGATCCGGTAACTAAAGCTTTTGGTCACAGAAACTAAATAATGATTTAGCCAACCAAAATTCGCTCCCTTTCGCCGAAAACTTCACTGTCAAAATTTCATTGAAGAAAAAAAAATAAAAACATAAATAAAAAACTAGCTTGTGTGTTTGGGTTGATCTCTTCTTTAATAGAATCAATCCGTGAAAAGAATGCTCTCTTCTTCGCAGATTCGGGGAATGATGTGTGGTGTGTGCTTCTGCGCCATGCACGTAGTCATGTTCGTGTCGGTGAAGCTTTACAACGTCCTTCTAGACAATTTGGAACTGGACGGGATGATATTATTGTTCGCAGCAGGAGCGGCGTTGTTCGGCGTCTTTTCAGCATCGATGCTTGTCGAAACTCATCGAAGAACATTGGACGAAATCGAAGCGGTGTTCGCTGGACGACCTATTGTCACACCACCACAGAAACAGAAAACGTAACAATTCTGATCGATGTCAAAAGTTTCCAATGATGTACCTGTTTATGGGGCAGTTTTAGCAGATTGGACCGAGTTTGACACAGAAACGCACAAAGTCTCATTTCGAAAAAAAAAGTTGGAAGTGGTTCGAAATGCAATTTGTCGTACATTTTCTCGAGTCAAAAATTCAATTCATCTGAGTTTCTGTTAATAATGTGTTGTACATACTTTAAACATTTGCTGTGTTGCTTTTAATTGTATTTTCCACCTTTCTCTGGTTTGTTCCTGAGAGATGTCCCCTAAAAGTGCCACAAAATTTTGAAATTTGCGATCAAACCAACCTGCTTCTTTACGTAAAGTTTGTAGGGGAAATCTCTGTGCCACCCTCAATGCATCAAGTTAAAGGCTATCCACAAGCGCATTTCAGAATTTAAGTTGTGATAATTGCTTAGAACAAAAAAGCGAAAATTACCAATCCTACGCATAAAGTCATTTAACGCCTAAAGATAGGCTATAGTTTAATCGCAAATGAACTTTACAGACTTCCATATAAGTTATATTTTTGTACGAAAACGATAAAATGTAAAGACATTTTGAATTTGTAGTATTAAATGCCATTTTTTTAAAAAAAAATTGAGTTTACTTCTTGCGTAATGGGTACAATTAATTAAACTTAAATTATTTGGAACAAAATAACTCTTGAAATAAAATGTAAAAAGAAAACGCAAACTAGCATAGACTACGTTAACTACGTTATCAGCATGCTGCGTGACATGTTGATATAATTTTAAGTTTATGTTCGTTTGCGTTTTTCTTTTCATTTTTATTACACGAGTTTGTGACGCGTGTACATTCACGCAAGAAAAAGGGCAAAAAGCCTAAAAATGTAACTCTGGTTTCAAAAAGCGCATAGCTGAATTCACTATGAACGCACATTAGGAATAAAAAACAACGCAAGTTAATTTCATCAATACGTTCTAATAACTTCTTTTTCATATTCCCTTTTCATCATTTTATTAAACTACACAATGTTTTTATTTCCTCGATTTTAAGACGGAGGCATTTACTAAGGATAAGACAAGTAAAAACTGGTAAGTTGGTGACAAATTTTGACAGCAAATATCTCCATCTTTGCAACTTCAACTGTAAAGGTTATACGTTCTTAAACGCTGAGTAAAGTTTCAGGTATTTTATCTTCATGATTAATAAACAACTATGCTAATGAATTACTATGTTGTTGCAGATTAACACTTTCTAAACTCTTAAATTCATTTTAATCAACGTTAAATTTTTTAAGAAGCTACATTTAAGGTGATTCGATGGACTCCATATTTTTTGTCAGAATGGCATGCTTTATATCACATCAGTTGGTTCCATTTTTTCAGCTACCCGTCATTTTTCTCCAATTTTGAGATCACAATTCTGTTGTCAGGAGACTAAAGCACTCACTTACCAATTTTAACAAAGAAATTCAGCGTAATAAAGGCGTGATTTTTTTAGAGAAAAAACATAGCATTCGATACTGATATCGAAACTGCACTCGAATGCGATATTTTCTCTCTAAAAAATCACGCCTTTATTACGTTGAATTTCTTTGTTAAAATTGGTAAGTGAGTGCTTTAGTCTCCTGACGACAGAATTGCGATCTCAAAATTGGAGAAAAATGACGGGTAGCTGAAAAAACGGAACCAATTGATGCGATATATCGCATGCCGTTCTGACACAAAATATGGCGTCCATCGAATCACCTTAAAGATGCGATATTTTTCCGAGAGTTTTGAAAGGGTTTCGCTACCAGCATATATTGATCTAGATTTTTCCAAGGGGTGGAGGGGCAAAATAGGGTAGGGGGGGCTGCGGCCAGACAATTTTCGAAATTTAAAAGCATCTAATGTGCAGTTTGAGTTAATTTTGTCATGACTGAAAATATAAGCGCTCCACCTCATTTCCTCAATTCCTTTCTTTTTTCTTACTTCCTTCTTCTTTCTTCTTTTTTGGGCGAACGGGGGGCAAGGGGGGTACGCCCCATACGCCCCCTCTTAGATCCGACTATGGTTACCAGCGAACTGTTTGTGCGATAACAGCCATAACATCGATCTACATGAAGTTGTGAAGATAAAAAGGTATCGTCATCAAACTATTTTTTCGTCGATCGATCGTGCTACAATGTCTGGTCAATTAATATGAAACCCAAAACAGTCTCACAAACGATCTTCTCGTAAACTCGCGGCGCCTGACAAACACGACGACATGGTTATTCGCTTTGGAGAACAGAATTTGAAGTAGTTTTTAATTATTGGTGTTCTGGAGCATATAGTGATCATTCAAGGCATGGAGGCAGATAAGCTACCGGTTTCGGAGGGTTTCATTAGACCAGTATGTTACTTTCAATATATTTCATATTAGTAAGCAATTTAAATGGAAAAACAGGACTTTTGTTTTACTTAATGTCGAGGTGATTCATTTATTAACTACAGCCATGTGATACATGCCAAGACATCACATTTAAATCTATACTATTATGTGTAGCATTATTGATACTCGATTAATATGTTCGTAACTTAAAGCTGATTTAGATCCACGTAAAATCTAAAAGTTTTAGATCAGTTGCAATTGCTTTTTAATTAGAATTGAGGTATCTATTACCTGAGTGTCGATCAAGCATTGATCTCGGAGGTAAAATTTCGTTGGTTCCTTATGTTCTGTATCACACTAACTTTATCTGTAACGTGCGCACGTGTGATTTTAGATATTTTCGAAATGTTAATGCGTCCGATCTAACGTTTGCTATTTTCAATGCAAGGCTGGAGTAGGGAGCGAAGGTAGGGAGGAAGAGGATGAAAAATTTAGAATTTTTTTTTTTGGTCCAGTTAAAGTAGATTTATTGGTTTTACGGATTAACGAATCTGAATAAATGGAAGAAAAACCTAAACGCACTCCTATATGATGGGTGTAGTGCACCAAAGTAATATGAATCAGGCACCAAAATAGAACGATTGAATCTGTTTGGTTTTTGTAATTTAGAAATAAAAATTTTGCCTTGAAATTTTCAAAACGTTATCGTATCACGTCGTCGTATCTGTTGTTTCGAGAGAATAAACAACAACAGTTCGTAATAAATAACCGAGGAAAAATACATTTATTCACATGTTTGACAATGGCACTAATGCTATCATTAATACATGCATTTACTTGATATTGCATAATTTACATGCTGGACTTAAGCTTCGCGATACCTGGCGCTGATGTTAGGTTTAATAGTCCCAGAGGTGAGCTCAAGCAAATGGAAATTGTCAAAGTCAAGTGCATAGATAAGAGTAGATATAAAATAAAAGATTAGCGATTGAATTTGTTGAGTACTATGATTCCATGTTTACGTGCTGTCATGAAAATAAATTTCATTTTTGTGCTTTAAACAAAGTGTGTTCATCATCGAGAAATCTTAAATATTCTGTTACGCATCGCACAAACAAACAATGAAATGGATCAAATGTTGGGCATGCGCCCACAGGATATCCAAAAATATGATTACAAACAGGGTTGAAACCTAGTCTCTGCTGAAATGCACAATGCGGCTCTCATTGAAGGAGTGGAAAATTTCACAATTTTCGTAAAAAAATTAATTACAATCATGGATCTTGCTTTTTTATTATCTATACAGTTTCTTCTCTCCGCATGTATATATCCGCTTCACATTGTTGGAGGAGCAATAATGGGCCAATCCGCCGGGATGCTGCCGCAACTGTTGAATAAGGACAGCTCGATACCTATTGATATGGAACAGGCAACTTGGATAGGTCAGTCTTCATTTCATCAATATAAAGCACGCAAACTCCCTGCAAAATTCGACCAATATTTAACGAAGTTATCGCTCATCGAGAAACACTTCGTTCACCGCAGTAGTGCACACCATAGTTTTTTCCACGTTGATCTCATATCCGCATTTTACACAACCCAAGTTGGAGGAAACCATGGCGCACACAACCATGATGGATGACGTCACATGCCGTATTCTTCGATGCGTGATATCAATATCTTTAATCATTTACAAAGCTTACTGCAAAAGAACGGTTACTCTTTTGAGGCCCCTTCAAACTGAAGATGGGTCTCCATCACATAAAACTTCATCAAACATCATAAACTTTCAGAAGTTATGAAGCTATCTTTCCGCCTCGTAAATTTCTGTGCATTTGAATTCTCCCTCCCTCGTAACCTGGTTCGTCCGCTCTCCTCAACTTACGGATATGTACGAAATATCAGGAACAGGTAAAAACAGAAGAGGCCGTACCAAAGGCATTGATAAACAGAAACAGAATGGGAGGGAAATCAACAGGAAAGGGATGTTGGCAAAAATTATTTTTCATACATGTTTTATTTTTTTATTTTTTGTCTCTAACTAACTAACGAAGTAACTAGCTTACTAACTTACTCTCTCGTTCCACTGTAACCAATCACAAATTTCTTTTTACAAATTTAATGTAGATTTCGTAATATTTTACACAACTTTCCGCCACTAGACAGTGCAGAACTATCTACTCGATAGTTTTGAAATAAGGATTTTAAGTCCAATAGTTTATTTGTTGAAGAGGAATACATAAGAAAATAGGGAGGCTCGATGAGGATGTCCCAAAGACCAGCAAAAATGAATGAATGAATGAATTTAATTTAAATGAATGATATTAATAGATATATGCATTTTGTTAACTTAAATTCTTGCTTGGAGCCGTTTAGTCAAACAGATACATTTACGAACATGTTAGAAGAGATGACGGTTAATATCTGCACAAGGCCACCTCCTGCGCTGTTCATATTTAACGCGCATGTTCCAATTTACGCTAGATCTTGTGCATAGAATAACCCCAAATTGAGCCTCCATTCATCTAATTGTAAGAGGTTCAGCGTAGATAGCTAGTGCTGATTTGTGACGTCCGATTAGACTACATTTTGCAATTAAGATTTGCTGGCTTATCTGTAAAATCACAAGTCTGCATATAGAAACTACTATTGCACGTACTTACCTTTTTGGTACACACTTTTGGAAACGAGCCAGAAATATTAGTTACTAATTGTAAATTTTAGTCCAATTGTTTCAAATGTTTGAATTGAGTTGTGTACTCTGAATTTCAGCCAGTTCAACGGCGATTGGTACGTGCATCTCATCAGCCATAAGTGGACCCCTATCGGATATGTTCGGTCGCATGAGAGTGGTACAGATGTCTTACTTCTTGATGGCTCTCGGCCACGCTCTAATGATGGCAGCCAGCAGTTTCACAGGTCTTGTCGTCGGCCGGCTTACCGTCGGACTAGGATTGGGTGGGTATTCACGTATGCCAATCACTTAAAGTAGAAGCCCAGTAAATACTTTTGTGTGTTTCGAGATTTTGCGAGAAGAGTGCCATTGTTTCCGATTTGATTCGCAATTCTTGTGGTTCTGTTTTGAGCATCAGACGTTAGATATCACTATTGAATTTATCCGTACATGAAGCGCATGGGCGTCCTGAGGGTATCGAGAATGCTAAAAACTCAATTGTTCCAATAATGTTAGTCCCTGATTTTATTTTTAAAACCCTCTAAATTATTGACAATATTCAAGTGTTTGCCTGGAAACAGCTTGTAAACGATTCTCTTTAACGATCAGATAGTCTCTTGCCGAGGGGATAGATAGGTGCAGATAGGTGCTTTTTTTGGATGAGCTAGAACTTTTAGTTCCTTGGTGCAACAGATATAATGCATTTATAAGGCTCACATCGCTGTCGTCTGCTTAATCTTATATGCCTGAAATAAATGTTAGTTCTGCCTGAAAATATTTTGGAACCTGGCAAGTTTTAGTGAACGCTTAGTTAACTGTTAGTTTGTGAACGCCGGGAGAGCCTTCAAATACTGGCTATACATCCCGCTTTATCGGGAGGGTAGTTTAGTTGCGTGACCCAACTGAACGCTTAGAACACCTTCAAATCTGGCGATACCTCTCGCTTCTCCGGGAGGTTAGTTAGTTGCGTGACCCAACCGAACGCTTAGAACGCCTTCAAATCTGGCGATACCTCCCGCTTTGCCGAGGGGTTAGTTTAGTTGCGTGACCCAACCGAAAGCTTAGAACGCCTTCAAATCTGGCTATACTTCTAGTTTCTCCGGGAGGTTAGTTTAGTTGCGTGACCTAACTGAACGCAACACATTGTTAGTTTACTCATTTTACTGCACGCAGCAAGCTGATACCACCAAAAGAAGCATTACAAACAGTGTTTCTTTTCCTTCTTTACCTTTTAATTTTTGCATTTTTCATGCGTCACAAATAGAAAGTAAATATTTCGGCAATTAGTAAACATGTAGTATGTTAGTATGTATTCAGTACGTTAGTCCATCATGCCTAACATATGCCTATAAATAGTATAACCTGTTGAATGCAACAATTTCAAAGTATTTTAACCTTAAAAAACATAAAACTGGGTGATTTTTAGGCAGAAATTGAAGGAAGATTAGCGCCACAAGTGCCTCGAAATGCGCTCAAATAGAGTTGAAATTTCAAAAATTTTCCCCGGACCCCCCCCCACTGAGCTGGGGGATATTCCATACCCCCCAGACCCCCCGGTGGTGGGGGGCCAGGTCCTTCCCCAGCAAAATGACCTAGCTACGCCTATGATCAGAATCAACCTCAAGAAACTTAGATAATCTTAGCAGCACTGTAGAGGTAACTTACACAACGCACCTCTTCTAAAATTGGCGGCTCTAATTTACTGAGCACTGCGGAGATTGACCTATTTTAACACAAAGATAGCAAGGGTTTGGACAGATTGTTTCAAGGAGGGCTTAGGGCCCAAAAGGGCAGCCAGCCTTCTGACACACACAATTTCACTGCCAATCTTCAGATTCCGATTCAAACTAAGATAGCGAAGTATGTTCAGAAATGATCGTTCATCCACAAAAATGAGTAAATGTATGCAAAAACTACGTCAAATTTGTGCACACAAAGACAAAGTCTAACAATTGCAACAATAAATCGTTCTGGATAATTTGAATTCATAGGTTGGCTGCCCTTCTGGGCTGTAACTTTACTCGCGGAGGAATCCGTGAAGGCCTGATGGGTTTTCGAGTTTAGCACCCGCAGACTGCGGGCCGCAGTAATACTTTTGCTATGTAAGTACCTACTCTGCCTTTCTGAGGAAGAACGCCGCATGAACATTCGAGAGTTGCAAAATTTCGTCTTGGAAAATATTCATTTTTGAAGAAAGTTATTGGCATTTTTCCTTGAAATTTTTAGACCTTTTAGAGAAAATTGCAAACTAAATTTTATGAAAAATTGTAAGAAAAATATTCACAAATGATCTTGAAAACAAGTGATTTTTCAGAGGAAATTTGGCAACGCCTGCAGGTTCAGACGCCGTTTTTCCCTAGCACGGCATTAGGTACATGTACTATAAATTCAGTTCCTCAAAAGCAGAAATAATGCAGTAATTTTTCGATGCCCTTTAAGTTGATTGTTAAATTGAGTTCATATTATTTAGTTATATTTCTTCCTGCGTTTGTTTATTTTAAATCCTTCTAAAATAATATCTTTTCACTAAATACAAGCCTACCTTGAGCACGTTTAAGCATTGCGGTCAAAACTGCAACAGCAGTAAAGGAACATTGACAGGGCCGCAGCGTGGAGGCTGATTTAATATCAATCTTCCATCGCATTGCTAAGGCGCAATGATACAACTATACGTACTCTCCGGAACGCGTGAGGTATCACGCCACATTTGAAGGCGTTTTCGAAACTGCCAACTTTCCAAATCAGCAACCTTGCGTCGCATTGATTGGCGTCAACCAAAACTGGCTGGCACATATTAAGCACGTTTGCAGCCCTTCCTCAGTGCATGAACTAAACATTCAGTTCCTCAAAAGCAGAAAAAATGCAGTACTTTTTCGATACCCTTTAAGTTGATTGTTAAATTGAGTTCATATTATTTAGTTATGTTTCTTCCTGCGCTTGTTTATTTTTAATCCTTCTAAAAATTGATCGAATTGCGTAATATAAGCCTAGCTTGAACACTTTTAGTACTCGAGGGCAAATCTGCAACAGCGGTAAAGGAACACTGACAGGGCCGCAGCGTTGAGGCTGATTTAATATCAATCTTCCATCGCATTGCTAAGGCGCAATGATACAACTATACGTACTCTCCGGAACGCGTGAGGTATCACGCCACATTTGAAGGCGTTTTCGGCACTGCCAATTTTCCACATCAGCAACCTTGCGTCGCATTGATAGGCGTTAACCAAAACTGGGCAGCAAGTATTAAGGACTTTTGCAGCCCTTCTTCAGTACCTACTCTAGTTATTGATTCCTTGCAGGTTGCGATTTCGCATCTTTCATCTATGTCTCCGAAACGGTGCCGGCTGCTCTGCGCGGGGTTCTGATGGCACTCTACACGGTGATGTGCTCCCTGGGTTTCATATACATCTACGTAGTAGGAGGCTACTACCATTGGACCATCGCGACTGGTATCAACGCCATAACGGCCACCTCTGGTCTGGCCCTTTCTTTCTTCCTCTACGAGACCCCGGTTTGGCTCGTGCGTCAAGGTCGACTGAAGGCCGCCCGCAAGAGCCTTCGTCAAAGTGGGATCGCCGCGAGCAACCTGGAGGCCAAGCTGAAGGAACTTCAGGATGCGGCCGAGAACAAGTCCACCGAGACCTTCAGCCTCGGTGATCTGCTGGGTCCGACCGTTTGGAAGCCCTTCTCCATGGTTTGCATCATGGCCGTCCTCCAAAATATGGCTGGATTTTATATTGTGATATCCTACTCCATTCAGTTTATGGCCGAGTTCCATTCCGGCTACAGTCCAGTTCAGGTAAGCTGTCAGCCAGGGGCAAAATGGACTGTGTTAAGCAGAAAGGAACCATGCCACATCAGCCATTGACAATTTTAACTGGGCAATTTAATATTTCAAATGAGAACGAAGATGAAGAGATGGACACTAAGATGGTTCTCTTCTCCTGGAGGTGATTGAAGATTTTACCTCTGTTTTTATTGATTTGACGAGTCCTTTATTTTTAATGATTTTTAGATTTTTCATATTTTACAATTTATTGTGCTCGGTACTGGATGACCTGACAAACAGGGATATGCCCTAGTCGTTCGTGGAATAGGAACAAAAAGAAGAAGAAGGAGAAGTAGAAGAAATGAAAGCGGTTGTGCGGATTTTTGTGCAAATTTCAGTGAGTTTGTTGCATAGTATGAAGTGAATCCTTGAAAATTTTCAAAGGAATTGGTACAAACGTTCTCTTGTAAAACTTATAATTCCCAGTTAAGTTTGGCGATAGCTAATGCAGTTTAAGTCCTTTCTGCTAAATGCGGTCCAAATCTTCTGTGCTGGTGATAGATTACCTGCTTGTGAAAATAAAAATACTGATGATAATTTTATATTATGGTCTGGTATGCTGCGGTTTTTATTATACGCACTGTTAATAATCGAGGAGTGAAATTCGGTGCCGGAGTCTATGTATCGCCTAAAAATCCCGAGTGATATGAGAACGAAGTGACATTAGCTCATAAAATCGTGTGACACTCCGCAAAAAGAGTAGACTCCGCTCCGTGATAATGTAAGTCACTCCGTAAGGCGAATAGATTCCGCTATGCATCCATGTCATCCGGGGATTTAGGGTGCCATATAGACTTCGGCACAGAATTTCAATCCAAAATTTTTAATAGTGTAGATCACGAGCTGAGAAATCTGCTAATAAATTATTACAACTAAACTAACTGCCTGGCAATACTTTTGGTATCGTCGGGATTTGAAGGCGCTCCAAGTCGCGCTTGAGAAGTTCTCTACCAGTAACAGCTTTATAATGTCGATGCAAATTATTGCGATTGACGAAAAAGTAACACGCAAGCCACTTGTTTTTTGGCAATTTTTGGCAACTGCTGACTGCCTGTGACATATTCACCATGGATTTACTATGCACCATTAGAAAAATGATTATTTAGACACTGGTCTATATAATCATTCTATCATTCTAATCATTCTTGTCGTTCACCAGTAATATCAATCGGATTCCGTCTTGCAATTGGGACTAAAACTTCCGGCTTAGTTAAGAAACAGCGTATTTAACATTAGTCGCCCTATTCTCATGAGTGTTTTTACCGGTTGGCTAGAAATTTTAGTTCCTAATTGCGAAATGTATTTCAATTAAAGAATAGCTAATAATTAAGGAAGATAAAATTCTTTCGCACGCACAACTGAGAAAATCATCGTACCTAACTGTCTTTTTGTGGATTTTACAGGTGACTGTGGGGATAGCAGTGGTGAGACTAATCGCCATGACATTGACTTCCTTCTGGATGCGGCATGCACGGCGGAGGGTCATCGGATCTGTTTCGGGGTTCGGCTCGTCTGCTTGCCTCCTGGCAGTCTTTGCCTTCTTGCACTTCGGACATCTGGCACCAGTTCTCGTAGAGAACCAGTGGATTTTGATAGCTTTGTTCTTTGCTTATATTTTCACGATGACCCTTGGAATCTATGCTCTGCCTTGGACGATGCCTTTCGAGATATTTCCAATGAAGGTAAACCTTTCACTTGGAACTTTTTCCATTAATACATTTGGGAAGCATCTGTCTGCAAAGTAAACCATGTTTGCAAATATTGGAAATTTTCGAACGAAAACGGAAGAAAGACTTAGCGCTAAGCCCTAACATTTGAGATCAAATGGAGCCAGCTGGAGGCAATATTGCTGAGCCCTACAGGTTTTAAGGCTAGACCCTATCGTTGTTAGGCTCAGCACCACTGCCTTTAGCTGGCTAAAAATGTTAGGGCTCAGCGCTAAGTTGTTTTTTCCGATAAACGCAAAGTAAACGCAATGGGTGGTTAAAAATGAGTAATCTTGAAAAAGGTAAGGAAAGAAAATTTCAAAAACAAAGCTGTTATAATGCAGGCCATAGAAAAGTGTGGTATGCTCTCCCCATAAAAGGCTGTTTCAGTAATGCGTCATGAAACTCAATTAAAGTTTATGCAGAAAATATATCTTTCCTGTTGTCATAGGACCTCAGGTTCCTTTAAGTATTTTGTAAGTTACTTTAAGAAGGAAGTCTGAGCTCACCCTAAAAAGTCTTACTAGTGGAAAAAGGGTAGTTCAAGCCTATAGTCTTGGGTAAGTCTCCCAGTTTAAACCAAAATGTATGTCCCAAATTTTCATCTATTTTTAAGGCTTTCTCTGTTTTGTTCTGAAAAAATTGGGATGTCGGGTTATAAGACCAGCCCTAAGCTTTGAGCGCACCATACCTTTCTCTCTTTGATACTCACATTAACGAGAATTTCAAACTCCATGGAATGACAAAATTTATCATCCACATTCATCATTTCTGATCGGGTCTTCAAAACGGGACCTCATCTTCCAGGAGAAAGTCTCCTTAACTTTATTCAACAACTTAAACCATCTTTTTCTATGCGCTTCTTTTCCTTCCACTTTTTCTATTTCTTCCACTTTTCTGTCTTGCAACTTCAGGAATTATATTTCCTTCAATTTTTGAGCTTTCGAGGAAATTGTGCCAAAATTTTCAGTTCTGTTTCCTTTACTGCACTGACAAAAATATTCGTGTTCTTGTGATACCTTTGGTTAACATAGGAAGTGAAACATATAAATCAACCCAAATTTTGTGTTGATTTTGGTACAGTTTGCTATGAATTTAGCGCAGAAAACAATGAAGGGACCGGGAAACTCCAGAGCTAACCGAAGGCTCAAATTGTTTGGACCGCGTTTACCAGAAAGTAACCAAGTCACATCAGGTATTTCCACATTTTTAAGTGGGCAATTTAATTTTAAGCAAGAGTACGTTCGTGCGGACTCCTTTGAAAATGTTACGGACTTTGCTTCGTACCAAGCAGAAAATTTCTTTGAATTTGGTTAAGAATCCGCAAAACCGTTTTCACGTAAAAATAAAATTGCCAAATTAATGTGGCAATAGCTGATGAGGCTTGGTTTTTTCCTGCTTGAAGCGGTCCATTTTCGTTTTACGTCCCGCATTAAACAAACTTTTGTGTTGAGTTTTCCCTCTGTGTGTGGGTTGCAGGTGCGCGGTTTGATGTCCGGCATGACCTACGTTTCGCAGTTCATAGCGATGTTCGTGTCGGTGAAGCTGTACAATGTTCTAATGGATAATCTGCATCTCCAGGGGATGATACTCATGTTTGCGGTGGGGTCGGCGCTATTCGGCTCGTTTTGCGTGACGTGGCTCGTTGAGACTCACCGGAGAACGCTCGACGAGATAGAGGCAGAGTTCGCTGGAAAATCAAAAGTTTACACGTGAAACTACTACATCACCCGAGCGGGTATGATTTAATACAGGCTCCAGTTCCTACGCGAAGGAAAAACGCCGTAAGAGCTTTCAAATGTTGCCAAATTTCCTACAAGAATATATTTATGTTTCAAGAAAGTTATGGATATTTTTCCTTAAAACTTTCAGATACCTTAGATTAAATGGGTTTGTTGCACGCAAGTAGAGATACATAGCTAAATAAATATACCCTATGTAGAATCGAACGAAAATCACGTTTGGCACGTCAAAAAAGGCTAAAATCCATTGCATCCTGACATCCAAGGCGCGCAATTTGCGTAGTTTGTGACACGCTTGATCAAGTTTCCCGCGACTAGCACAGGAGAGCATTCCATGAGCGCCGCCTGCGGCGCACTATGGTCCAAAACTCAAGAATAGGAAGAAATAAGTCGGATAATGACTGAAAGATCACAGAAGTTTCGAAATTGATGTTTTTTTGAGTCGATAATTTCGAATTTGATGTCAAATTGCCAACTTTTTAACGTCCTGACCTATTAATTGTAGACAAGCTTATGGTACGCTGCGGCGCGGCGTGATGCCGCGCGCTGCCAGCTCGAAATGCACACTGACGCCTACAAACCTAAAGGGATACTTCAAGCATTGCGCAATGCGTGAAGTAGCTCTTTAGGTTTGTAGGCGTCAGTGCGCGCATTGCGCAATGCTTGAAGTATCCCCTTAGGTTTGTAGGCGTCGGTGCACGCTTTGCGCAATGCTTGAAGTATCCCCTTAGGTTTGTAGGCGTCAGTGCGCGTTCCGCGCTGGCAGCACGCCGCGCCGGCGCCGCGGGCGGGTGTTGGACGATTGCGGAGAGAGTCTAGATTAGAGCTACCTGGCCAAGAAAATCGTATGTTATGTAATTTTTTTTTAAAATTTTCAACTTTTAAAATTACACACTGGTCATGTGAAGTAATAAGTGAACTCTCAACGCTAGATGAATGAAGGCAGGTCGTGCGCCATGCGCGCAGGACGGCTCATGAAATTCTTCCCTGTGCTCTATCGAGTTTCCCGCGTCTGCCGGCAGTTTTTATCTGTCACCGCCGACCAGGTCTGCACAGACATAGGAGTAAGAAAAATACCTGAGTAAACTGACCACCTCGCTAACTTTTTCTATCGTATGATTTCAATCGTCATAAAGCGTTTGTTTCCTTTTTCTTTCTTTATGTTTCAAAAACAAAATCGTTGAAACAATTGAAATCTTACGCAAGAGGAGTTTATAACAATTCGCGGGGTTGTTTGTTTACTTACGTTAGGTCTCTCTTCGGGCAAACCTGATTGCCGGTCTTCTAGAAAAACTGCCCGCATACGCGGTAAATTTGAAAAACCGGGCGTTACAAACTACGCAGATTGTGCGCTAAGGAGTGGATTTCAGACTTTTTTGATGTGCTCGACGTGGTTTTTGAGATAATTTACTCTAAGAATGCACAATCAGTTGGCTGCATGTATCTCTTGCGTGTGAAAGACCCATCAAGATCAAATTAGGAACAAAATTCTATGAAAAAACGAAAGAAAAATATGTACAAATTTCCTCAAAAATTCGTGATTTGTTGAAGGTAATTTGGCAACTTCTGAAGGCGCATACGGTGGTATTCCTTAGCACAGCAGAGTTTCGGCCCTCGATTTTGTGGAAAGATCCAAGGCACGTAGCTCAACCTGGGTCCCACGCACGATCTGAATTCAAACTTTTATTCCTACTCTTACACACTAAGAAAAAAAGTTCAGGCATACGCGGAGAGAAATACGTTTCGGCTCAACTGCGTGATAAGTCTAAAAATGCTTCTACAAACTTCTTACGGAGGTAGCGACTACCAGAGTAGTACAACCGTATGCTTGAAAGTTAACTGCGTGCTGATTATTTGAATTGATGGACAAAGTGATGGACAAAGAAGACGAAGGGAAAATAGAGCGATCCCATTGGTGAGAACTAGTAAATGTTACAGACTAAGGGACAAACGATGGTCCGATTATAGATAGTTTTCGATAGTGGTTCGGTGTATCGTTTGGTTCAAAACAATAGAACATAACCTCAAACAAAACTTTCAGGATTTCAGTCGGAAAAGCTGAAAATGAGAAAATTCCTAACTATTTCACCTTGCGATGTCATTTGGTACTCATAAGAATAAAAAATCTATCAGAAAAACCTCGTTTCCTCAGATCACTTGATTGACTTTTCAGGCTATGTTTACATGTTGAACCAATCGATATCTATTTGACGTATCGGAAACGTTCTGTATGGTCCATTACTCACCCCATTTGTACATTACAACCGTCCGCATCCATGATTGAGATCGCTCAAATTCATTTTACCTTCTTTGTCCATAGCTTTGTCTATACATTTTAGTGATCGGGCCGGGGGGGGGGGGGGGGTGGAGTACGCCCCTTGACCGCTTAGTAGTCCAACACTTCGAAGCACTTCGCGGCTCAGGCGTCACTCGTTGCGCGTTGCTCTTATGACTTCATATTAAAGTGTAATATAAAAAAATGTATTTCGGTGCTTCACGTCTAAGCTAGTATGTTGTGTTATTGATTATTTGGCTAAACCACTTGAAAATATGAACTCTTATATTATTTTATCTTTATAATAGTGACATGAGGAAAATGAGTATGAATAGACTGCAATAGTCAATCTGAGATACCTAATCTGTCCCAAATTTGGGTTGTTTTCACCGTGATTGTTGTAAAATGAGGATGAAGTGATTTTAGTCGATCAATATCTTTTTTGGGTTCTTATCAGTTCTTATCAGTGAAAAGTTAAGTAGGTATTAGTCTTGCATTATATCCACCCCTTCATCGTTATGCGGAAGCTAAAATGCGTTTCAGGCAGAATATAAATGTGTAGAGGAAAACTTGGGGAGTACACAACACTCAACTTATAATTACAGTCATTTTTTTGTATTTATAGTTCTTTCCACGGAAGTATAAAATAGAGAGGATGAATCGACATGCCACAGTGAGAGAGCACCGCAAAATAGTTCATTCTTAAAATAATATAGCAACAGTGGCGGTTTTGTAAGTCGGCAACACTGTTTTTCCACCATTTGAATACGTTAGAAATATCGATTTCAGGTGAGGCAAGCTACCTCACCAAGAATCGCTTGTTTTAAATACATTTAAATAGATGAAAAACAGTGGTGCCAATTTTCAAGAGTCGCCTCTGTATAGCAACAATAGATTGTGATAATATGTAACAATAATGCAAGAAATAACAAAAAACATTTTTAAGTAATTAACTTAATAACTAATAATGGACCACCTAGAGTAACCCAGCCACCAGCATTAAAAATTGATGCTCACAACTTTTCCAATAATGGGTCACTGAACCATGAACGACTCTTAACTTGTGAATACATTTCTCATTCGTAGAACACGATGCGCCTATAAAAACGCAAAAAAGTAACTCAGAAACCGAGATTCAAAAAGCGCAACTTTTCGGAAAATTTAAAATGCCCCTGTTTCACGCATGTGATGAATGATGTCATCCGGCATCAATCAGAAGCGATTGCGGGTTTCCGTCAAATGCCCTCTACTCCTTGTATTTGAAAACAATGGAAAAGTCATAATCATATCTTTAGAATCAAAGAATCGAATTTAATTTACGTTACCTGTAGTTAGCAATCAACAGGAATCCCACATTGCACTCCGTTTTCTTTTAACAATCATAAAAGGAACATGAGAGGAGATAGCAATTTGACTGCCGTTGTACATCACTTCTATCATTTTTCTGCCGTGTCAGAGCGTTTGGAATTCCATCGAATGTTTGGACTTTTTAAAAGCGGGCTTGTGCGAGATTTTGGTTCCAAAAATACACAATAAGTTATCTCGTAATCTACTCACAAGGGACTTAATAACACAAGGTATAGTGACCCATCGTTGCATGAATTAACTGGAAGATTATCTTCTTTGATAATCGCAAATTAAGGAAAGACAAGTCATGTATTAAACTTTGACTCGCGATTTTATGTTCCTGAATAAAGTATACAATTCAAATATAATTTCTCAACATATGTTTCCGGATCCGATCAATATCTCGCAATTTAAGCTCTGCTTGTCAGATGTATAACTAGTGCGATTAGAATCGCTATCGTTCCATAAGGCGTAAAGAATACAATGTTATATAGGCTTTTCTATAAAGATGAGCTTTGGTGTCTACAACTTGATTTGGGTTTAAAGAGTTCTACAGCAATACAAATCTGCGATTTCCAGAGAGGAACATACAACAATAATTCTGAGATCTGACAAGAGATCTTAGATAGCAAACATGACGAATCAAAACAAAAATTAACTTATTTCCAATGCAGATTTAGAGAAGTAATTTGATAAAATATTGTCTTAAACTTTCTGTGAAAGATAACATAACCCTCTATCGTATAATTATCATTTCATATTTAAGATAAAATTTTACAAACTTAATTTCCTGTTGCCCACTCAGATTGGAATACATATAAAATATTTCCCCTAGTTTGCATGCAAAAGGGCTTGAGTTCAAAATGCAAAATTCTCCTGCAAGTTCATGAAACTTTTTCTCATCAGAAAATTACTTTCAAGACTTTCAAACAAACGTTGACACGTCTGACATCCATCAACCACTTTCAGAAAATATGAACTTCCCCTATGCCTGGTGACAGATTAGTCATGTTGCCTATTCTAGTAAACTTTTTTTGAACAGAGCACCTTTCCTTTGAAAACAATCAGTTCATTCGTGATCAAGAGCCAAGCATATTCTGTTTAAATATAAACTGAGGCTCCCACTCACAAAAAAAGATGAACATTTTAAAATTTTATCAAAGAATATTCCTACACCGAGAAACGATAAAATCCAACAAACATGATTTACAAATTTTTATTGGTCCCTTAGAACGTGTCTTTGGTCAATTTTTAATTATTTGAGAAACGACCAAAGACTGAATGTTTTGAAAAGTATCTTTGTGATCAAAGTTGCATTTTAGTTTGTAATTATTATACATAGATGCCTTCATTCATGTCCAGCGTATGCATCCCAATTTTTCCGCTTCATTGGAAAAATGAGGGGCTTGATGAACAAGGCGAATGAGTACAGTTTTTTTATAAAAAAATCGAGACTTAATGATTTCAAGTAAAACTAT